CATCTTCTAGGTAAAAATCAGGGTTTAAAGCCCTATCAGCCTGTCTATCATCTCATAAAATTACTAATTAGTAATAACCAACAATTTTTTTAATGATGTACATACAATTTGAGTTTGATTCTCATTTCTTTCACGGTTTAATTTAATTCCAATATAAAAATGCGTAGAGCAACACAAACATTTGGAAAAAGTTTATCCAAATTTTTTGATGTAATCGCGTTCAACAACTTATAAGGAGAACAACTAGATGAGAAATTTTTTTTATAGATATGTTTAAGGTGAATCATTTCAGTTATTAGTTTGAGATACGTCAGTATCATACTTTTTTTACAAAATTAGCTACAGTATTTTGAATTTGCTCTTCAGGCCATGCAACAAATTTGCCACATAAAAGAAAAAATGTCGTTCAACTTTTTTATTGCAACAAAACGGTTATATATTTCTGCTATAACTGAATCTATAATAACAAAAAATGTTTCTATTTTAAAATCAGTTTCTTCGTCAGTAGTAATAAATTCTTCTTCATTATTTTGTCGTAATATGCCTAATGCTTTGCATTGCGCATCTTAAATTTATCAATGAAAAATGTATAATCTGTATTTTATATTACTAGTATACAAACAAATAATTAATTTATCTGTTATAACATATACAATGTTGTACATTAGCTATTATATATATATATATACATGTGTAAATTGATTATTGTATACTATACATCTTATCTTAAAATTAACTATCATGTTATGTTCAATTTAATACAATAAATTGAGAATCCCTAAATGCGCTGACGACAACAACCCATGAAGGGGTAATCAAAAATAATATAATAAATAAAGTTTAAAAAAACTAAAAAACACGCTTTTAAAGAACATCGAACTAAAAAGTTAAAAATAATTTTTAAAATAAGCGTAAAACAATAATGAACGAAAAGTACTAGTATTATTATGATAAAAGCGTGGGTGCTTTGTGCTATATTTTTCGTATATTGAGCGCCCGACGCTTTTATCACAATAATACTAGTACTTTTCGTTCATTATTGTTTTACGCTTATTTTAAAAATTATTTTTAACTTTTTAGTTCGATGTTCTTTAAAAGCGTGTTTTTTAGTTTTTTTAAACTATATTTATTT